AGAAGGATGTCATGCTTGGTAGGGTGGAGGGTCGACGAAAGAGGGGGAGGCCTTCAACGAGATGGATTGATACGGTGGCTGCGATGATGAGCTCAAGTATAGCAGGGATTGTGGGGCTGGCGCAGGATTGGGCAGTGTTTCGTTCTGCTGTGCATGGGGTCACTGTGAGTCAGAAATGACTCGACGGCACTTAACAACAACAACAACAACTTGCTCCTAAATTTCTCTGGCAGGAGATCAGTATGATAATTTTAAAGTGAAAGGTTCTGCCAGGTATTGCCTAAGGATTAGGGTAAAAACCTACAATGTAAGGCAGAACAACTCTGCCTCTGGCTTTAGTTGTTTAGCAAGAGGTGTTATAGAAAGAAAACTCTCTTCCTCCCCTCACCTTCACCCTCACTTGGAAACAGACCTTCCTGCTTATTTAAAGGCTCCTCTGCGACACCAGGTCCAGGACTCCTGCACTCACAGGCTGGCTACACCACCTCTAGAGCACAGGAACTTCAGGCTTTGCTTCTGAGCTGCTGCCATATCTTCATTTTCACTTCCTTCAAGGTCAGAAAGATCCTGAAGCTGTGGGGATTCTGAACTAAAAGCTCCTCTTAGGATCTCAATGCAAACTTCAAAATCTTTCCTGATGAGGGGAAAAAAAAAACCACAAACTCCAGCAATCCCAGGTCATAGATGAAGTTCCTACAGGTTCAAAATCAGGTAAGAATCACAAATGAATTTCTAGATTTGGCCAAGCATTTCTTATCATATACCACAGAAACACTGAAGAAAATTATGGACACTACCATCCAAGTCACTGAGGTTATAGATTAATTCTAGGTGGCAGGCAGTCCTCAGATTCTTCTGCTTACTGCCTCATCTTTGTAACCCAGTTCAATCTTTTTCTAAGTCTAGGACTTCAGTGCTGAAAAGTCTGCTTCCTCCAAGAAAACCTACAAGGTTCACCTTGATAATCCTTTTGGACCACCCATTGAAATTGAAGTAGTCATCTCCAAGTTCTTGACATCGAGAGCTCTCTAGGGCAAGGACCTGAAGTTGAATGGCTTTATGACTGGTGCCAAGATGAACCTAAGGACACAAGACACAGGTCCACAAATATCACAATCTGGCATAGACTTTAGTTTGGATATAAGGAACTCTGGTGGCATAGTGCCTAAGGCATTTGACTGCTAACCAGAAGGTTGGTGGTTCAAACCACCAGTCCACAGAAGGAAGACTCGGCAATCTACTTCTGCAAAGATTTACCGCCTCAGAAACCCAAAGAGGGTCACTGTAAGTCGGAATCAACTTGATGGCAATAAGTTTGATTTGGTTTTTATACTTGAGATTTGTAAGTACTGACTTCATAGATTGCTAAGATTCAATAGATCAATGGAAGCACTGAGTTCACAGTAAGCCGTGAATAAATGTTATTTATTATTATTAAACTAGAGTGCTTTTCTGCACCACTTTCAGGGCTCCTGAGTAATAGAAAGTTTCTCTGATGTCTGGAGGTAAACAGTGATGATGATGCAACTAACGAAGTCCTGCAGAAGCAAACTGTAGCACTGAGGATGCAAAGAAAGTAAACTGTTTGTCTCCCTATTCAGTAGCTCCTGCCTGAGGATATGAGCTGAAGAGTAGATGGGATGGAAAAACTAGAGAGGTGGGACCTTAATCTGCCACACCGCCCACCCCAAGTTATTACCCTCCATTACGAAGGGGAGTAATATACATATCTCTGTAAGTATTATAACAAACAAGAAACCAGTTGCCTTCACCATAATTCTAACTCATTCCAACTCACGTGTCAGAGCAGAACTGTGCTCCACAGGGTTTTCAATGGCTGATTGAGGAAGTAGATTGTCATGCCTTTCCTTCTAGGCATCCTGGGTAGATTCAAACCTCCAATTGTTCGCACCAACCAGAGTCCTAATAAACATAACCAGCAATTAAAACACAGAGGTGCATGTGCATTAACAAGTCCTTTGAGACGATAAGTATCTGCAAAGTGCTGACTGTATAAATAATTTATACAATGCTATGCTTCAATCTACTTCTGTACTAATACCGCCTCAGAAACCCAAGGAGGGGTTGCTATGAGTTGGGTCCGACTCGACGGCACATAACAACAACGACAACATGCTTTGTAAAGGAGCTCTGGTGTTATAGTAGTTAAAGCATTTGGCTGCTAAGCAAAGGTCAGGGGATCAAACCCACTAACTTCTCTGTAGAAGAAACATGAGGCAGTCGGCTTCTGTAAAGATGTATAGCCTTGGAAACTCAATGAGGGTCACTATGAATTGGAATCGACTTGACAGCAGTGGTTTTTTTGTTTTTTTATGTTTGGTAAAGTAGTGGGTCAGTGAAAAAGAGAGAAACCATCAACAAGCTGGATTAGCTATAGCAATGGGCTCAAACATAGCTACTATTGTCAGGATCGCACAGGACCAAGCAATGTTTCATTCTGCTATACACAGGGTTGCTGTGAGTCGGAACCAACTTGACAGCAATTAACAACAATGATATGATTTCTTATATAATTAATGATAGCATTAATCTTCTCTCATTTTCTTCTATTATAGTCTTTCTAAAATTCTACTTCCATCTGTAAGAGATCACGGGGCTGGTGCAGGACTGGTGATTTCATTCAGTTGTGTATGGGGTCACCATGAGTCAGGGGCCAACTTGACAGCATCTAATGACAACAACATGGATTGCTTACATCATTCATTATTTTGTACAGGTCTATTGTATTTTTAAGCTAAAGGGTAGCACATTAATATATTCTTACTGTAAAACTCCAAACAACACAAATACAGTCAAAGCATGATAGATTCTTTGTTGATCTGTTTATGGAGCTTACTCTACCACAAGAAGAGTTGATGCTTTTGAGTTGTGGTGCTGGCGAAGAATGCTGAAAGTACCATGGACTGCTAAAAGAACTAACAGATCTGTCGTGGAGGAAGTGCAGCCAGAATGCTCCTTGGAAGCAAGAATGGCCAGACTTCGTCTCACCTATTTTGGTCATGTTGTAAGGAGGGACCATTCCCTGGAGAAGTATGTCATGCTTGGTAGGGTGGAGGGTCAACGAAAGAGGGGGAAGCCTTCAACGAGATGGATTGATATGGTGGCTGCAATGATGAGCTCAAGTACAGCAGGGATTGTGGGGCTGGCGTGGGATCGGGCAGCGTTTCGATCTGCTGTGCATGGGGTCGCTATGAGTCGGAAATGACTCGATGGCACTTAACAACAACAACAACCCTCTACCACTGCTTGATAAGCTTAAGTTCCTCAGAGAACAATATCTAATTGCTTTCTCATTCCCAAGACTAAGCACAGTTCTTGACATTTAATAGGGTCTCATTTTAGAGAGTGAATGAAAGAAAGAAAGATTAAAAAATTGAAATTGCAGGCAGAGACAAGATGGCATCCTGCTAACACATTCCACCAATCCCTCTACAATGACATCCTGAAATCTGAGTGAAACAGATACAAACAATGATCCTGGAATTCGAAACAGCAAATGAGAAGATAAAGAACTAGACTGAGTGGTGACTGGAAAGGGAAATGGAGTAAGACTAGTGTCTGTGGAGAGAGAGGAGACAGGACGATCTGAAGCAGGGGCATCTTGAGTACAGAAGCAGATGCTGATGAAGCGGGGCAGGGGGAGGGGGGTGTTGAACTTCATGGAATCTACTCAGTGATGACAGACAGTGCAGACAGACTGGAGGAATGCAAGGTGAGCACGAAGTGGGAGACAAATGTGCAGGGAATCGGGTCACAGTCACAAGTGGCACGGGCGGCCAAGCAGAGAGGTGAGAGTAAGAAAGGGAATCAACTCACCAGCTGAAACCGGGTCTGGGCTGGCAAAGAGCCTGCGTTGAGTCGACTGAAGAATCTGGGCAGGAGTGGGACAAAGGGCTGTGTCACCAAAGGGCGACACCCAGGCCAGGGAATCCAGATGGGAAGGAAACGCTCTCTGATCTAACAATCACACACCTTCCCTGCATACAGGGGTCAATACTCTTTCTACAGCCAGAGACTCACTAAATAGGAAGTCCTGCCCTCACTAACTGACTCCTGGACACTTCCACCTCTAACAGCCTCAGGCAGCGACTGAAACTCACCCACTGGGTGCCTAAAAGATTGACAGAAGTTTTTCATACTAAAACAAGAGGCACAACGCTATGGCCTCTTCTCTCAGGAGGGTCACTCACACCAGGTCCCTCCCATCTCTGTGAACTAAAAAGCTTGTGATGGGGTAAAGAGCACATCAGGGTGGGGCATCAGAGCATCACTAGAGTCTAGCCAGGGGCTGCACCTGCCTAGAAGTGTGCCAGACCCATGCCAGTGAATCAAGGCTGGTGAGCCATACTCTCCGCTCCAAAAAGGACAGCTTCCCTGAGAACAGGGGCCAAACCTCTCCCCACCACCACCAAGCCAGAGGCCAAGGAAGTCCTGTAGCCACCCACAGCAACCCATTCCAAGGAGACAGACCCAGAGACTGTGCCTATCCCTCCCTCCACATACATCACCGGTTGATCCTTCTCACACTGAGCACAACAGGCAAATACCTGCAGCTTTTTGCACTGGAGAAGCCCCCTTGGGCCAGGCTCCTTTCACCTCCACAGGCACACACGCCAGTGGATCAGGGGTTTCTGCTACACTCGCTTGCTCCCTTGCCTGCCAGCTGACCGCCGTTACAAAAGCCCTTCTTCCTCAGTTGCCCTTATTTCTCCCTTATTTTCTCCTTCCCTCTTTCCCAATTTTTCTCCCTTTTTACCCATTTCTTTCTCTTTCCTTTTCTTCATCTTCTTATACCCTTGCCACTCTTTCAGCTCCACCACCTGCCCTTCTTTTTTTTATCTTTTATTTTTATTCTATCATTTTTCTTTTTCCTTATCTAATTCTTCTCCATGAGGTTTTTTTTTTTTTTTTTTTTTTCCATTTCTTGCCTCATCTAGTAAGATGAGGACATTAACTCTCCACTAATCAGCCATTTCTACTGTACCAACCACCTCACCCAACCAACAAGCACCACTATTAACTCCTACACCACTGGATCAACAACACACAATGGACAGCACCTGCTCATCCCAACTGCAGCTCCTCTTCATGTCAAAAAAGACCTGCACCCACATTCCCATCAATTATTCCATCAATCCAGATGGGGAGCGCCTCAGTGTTGCGAAGTTAACAGTCAAAGAAGCACACCTGCCGCACTCATCCAGATACACTGAGACAAACCAACAATCAACAAATAAAAACAACTTCAAAATATCTCAGAGACAACAGACAACTTCAACTCAAACAAAAAGGACAAGATTGTGGAACCAAATGACCAAAATAAAGAACTAGGAAATCTCCCTAAGGACGAACAGGTAATAGAACTACTTGAGAAGGAATTAAAAATAAATATGTACGTGTATGTATGTATATGTGTGTGTATATGCACTCACATATATATACATACACATACATGTATGTGTGTATATATATGTCTATACATACATACATGTATGTATCTATGTGTGTGTGTATACATATGTTTATACATATATATAAATCTTCCAAGAGGTCAATGAAACCATCAACAGAATCAAGTAAAAGACAAATAATACTCTTGAGGAACCCAGGAAAATCACATAAGAACAAAAGGACAAAAGAGACGATTAGAAATTATACAAAAACAGCAGTTAGATATCTAAAAGATGAATACTAAAATTACAGAGACAGTAACTGTTTTGGTTCTCTACTACTGCTATAACAGAAATACCACAAGTAGATGGCTTCAACAAACAGAAATCTATTCTCTTACAGTTTAGAAATCTAGAAGTCTTAATTCAGAGTGCTGGTTTTAGGGGCTGGGTGAATGTCCATCAACTTTGGGCCTCAGCTTTGCAACTTGTTCCAGGCCCACTGGAACTACAGGTTTCTTCTGATTCATACAGCTATTGGCTGCTGAGGCTAACGAGTTCAAGGCCCCCAGGTAAAATGGCACAATCCTAAAACTAGCAGGCAACATGACAGGCTACTGCTTCAAATCCAGTCACTGGAGATGAAGACTCAGCCAAATATTAAGACCT